CTGTTGTTAACCCCATGACACTCTGTTCCTTGGGAAGCTCCTTTGCCCCAGGACTCAGGTTTTCCTAAGAAAGAGAGCAGCCTGGACTGACCACACCCTCAGAGCCTGGCCCAAGACCACATGTGAACTTATAGAAAAATCTGCATTGGATCTGACATAAACTCTCCATTTCCTTCATTCATTCCATTTGGGTTGAAACTCGGTGGTTGTTATCACAAAGGTTTCATTTCGTTTCTTTCTTTTTTCTCTCTCTCTCCCTCTCTCTTCGTTCCTTCTCAGTTACACAGTATCATGACCCAAATCTTTAGCACTTGAACTAGATAGCTGAGAGCCTTGAAACCCATAGGGCCAGGGCACGTTGTGGAGACAGGCCAGCCAGTGGGCATCAGGTCGCAGAGAATTCTTCACCACTTGGGGTTGCTTCACTGGAAGAAGTGAGTTACTGAGAGACAGCCATCTTCGGCTTTCGTCAGCCATTTTTAACACGATCTGGTTTGTTTTAGAATCCCCTGTAGTGCCTAGCTCAGAGTCCAACCAAACAAGCTCCGTAAATGTTGGTTTTGAATTTAAATAGATGTTGGGGTGCTCCCATTTCCCCTTCACTAGACATGTGGGAAGATGAGGCCCTGGCCCCTCTTTCATGCCACAGCCTGGGAGATGCTGCCTTCTCAGCAGAAAGCCTCAGGAGGTATTTTGAAAAGGGAATTTATTGTTTTCATTCTGCTTAGACAAGTAATAAATGAATTTTTTAAATTGGGAAAATATTGAAAATTATTTTTTAAAAATGAAATCACCTTTAATTCCATTACTCAGAGACAACTATCACTGATATTTTTCTGTTTTTTCAATCTTAATCCTTTTGAAGGAGTGCCCTGTTTCCCTCCAGATTTCTCAGAGGATTGAGGATTAGGGAAGGGAGGAGAGGGTGCCTTATGTTCTTTCTAATCATTTAGCTTCAGGTATTATTGGGATATATAAAAATACATATAACACACATATAGATATATGTGTATAGGTATTATATAATTGGTATATACATTATTGGGATATATATTAGTAGGATATAAATATATATATATTATATAATGTACACACACTTATATTTGACCTGTACCAGTTCCTTATTACCACAATAATGCTAGATAACACACCCTCAAATTCAGTGGCTTAAACCTAAAGTTATTTATTCTTGCCCACACTTCTGTGAGTAGGCTGGGTATTTGCTGATTTGACTGGGCTTAGCTGAGTGGCTCTAATTTCAGGTGCATCTGAACTATATAGCTGAGAGCCCTGAAACCCACAGGGCCAGGGCACACTGTGCCTATCTGTGTGTTGTCCTCAGGTCTATCCCGTGTGTGTTCTTTCTGCAGTCCACGCTGACGGGGCAGCAGCTGCCCAGATAAGTTATTGTCTTGGCAATGGAAGGGGTGCAAGACGACAAGCTCAACTGGGCAAGCACTTTTCAAGCCTCTGCTTCTGTCTTATCTGCTCACATCCTATTGGCTAAAGCATGTCACATGGCTGCAGCCAGTATCAAGGGACTGGGAAGTGTGTCCCATCCACCATGAGCCTAGAGCAAATCACATGGTCAAGATTGACATCAGTGGCTTAGGGAAGCATGTACTTTTCCCATGGAAGTAAGGGAGGAAGGAAGGGAATATTTTTGAGAATAATGTAATCTTTTTTTTTTTTTTTTTTTTTTGAGATGGAGTCTCACTCTGTTGCCCAGGCTGAAGTGCAATGGCACAATCTGTGCTCACTGCAGCCTCTGTCTCCTGGGTTCAAGCGATTCTCCGGCCTCAGCCTCCTGAGTAGTTGGGATTACCGGTGTGCACCACCATGCCCAACTAATTTTTGTATTTTTAGTAGAGATGGGCTTTCACCATGTTGGTGAGGCTGATCCCAAACTCCTAACCTCAGGTATCCACCCGCCTCGGCCTCCCAAAGTGCTGGATTACAGGCATGAGCCATTGCAACCGGCCCAAGAATAATATAATCTACTGCACACCCTAAATATCTGCTAAAGTACTCTGTTCTTTGAGATTTAAATCAAATTTACTGAGGCTAGGCATGGTGGCTCACACCTGTAATCACACCTCAAATAAATAAATAAATAAGATAAAATCTGCTCAGAGCCCACCTGGTTGGTAGTATCATCCAGTCTACACAGGGAACCTCTAGTCCAGAGCTCCTCTACTCATTGAATTAATTCAGTTTATGGATAATTTGACTGTCTCGTGTGTTGTTCCTATTTCACACGCGTATCGCTTTACTTACTCCCCCCAAAATAATTTACACGGATGTGTGTAGAAGATTTTCTGAACATCTGGAACGGCAAAGAAGTTTTATATCTCTGTGTTTGTACCTCTAGATTGGTCAGCCCCACTCCGTAAATTCTCTTTGCGTCTCGCCCACACACAGCCTCTCAAGTCAAAGCTTGCTGAAAAATTCACTCTTGTCTCCAAAATTCTGAAAGTCTGATCTTGGCTGGGCCACACCTTTGTGCAACTTAGCTCAGCTTTTTAAATTCATTCAATGTAGGTGTATTGAGCATTTGTGCCCTCCGTCTGAGGAATTCATAATCTAGTAGGGGAAATTAGTAGTTTACATTACTATTTGGAGCCAGAAAATTCTTTGTTGTAGGGTGCCATCTGGTGCGTTGTGGGATGTTTACCAGCATCCCTGACCTCTACCCAGTAACACCAGTCCCATCCCCTTGAGCTTTGGACAACCAAAATATCTCTAGACATTGCCAAATATCCCCTGAGGGACAAGATTACCTCAGTTGAGAGTTACTGCTCTAGTATATAGTAGACTTGATAAGACTTCTAATAAAACAAAATGATATGCTAAGAAATGTTCAGAGGGGAGTGATGTTATTTCCTGGCAATGAAATCTGTGAACGCCTCATGACAGGTGGCGTCTGAGCTGAGACTTCAAGAATGGTTAGGAGTTTGAGTTGAGTTTCCTAGAGGAGGAAAAGACACAGGGTACATGTGGGCAAATAAGAGTGGTTCTATTTGACTAACGCATAAAGTGAAATAGGCACATTGGTAGAGTGGAGTTGATAGGTACTGGGAGGCTAGATACCATGGGGTCTTATAAGCTGTAGGACTTCTACTTTTACCCTGAGTGAAATGACAAATATATCAGAGCTGTGTTCACTGGGAGGGGGTTCATTTGGATATAGGGCTTGCCTTCATAATCCAAAGTAATTGCTGCAAAGACTTATCCCTCAGAGGTCATTTTTCTGACACCCAGGAAGGAAACAGAAAGGGCCTCTGAGGGGCACAGTATGTCACTAAATAAATTCATGCCTGGATCTTGGTGTTCCTTACCTTTCAGAAAACCCCACTCTGAATTCCTTATTTTACGTCTAAGTCTAATGGCCAGTTCCCAAGAGCAGATTAAAAGATGGAAAAAGAGGGCCGGGCATGGTGGCTCACACCTGTAGTCTCAGCACTTTGGGAGCCTGAGGCAGGAGGATCGCTTGAGCCCAGGAGTTTGAGATCCACCTGGGCAACATAGTGAGACCTCACCTCCACAAAAAAAAATTTAAAATTAGCTGGGCATGGTGGTGTGTGCCTTTAGTCCCAGCTCCTTGGGAAGCTGAGATGGGAGGATTGCTTGAGCCCAGGAGGTAGAGGCTGCAGTGAGCTATGATCGTTCCACTACACTCCAGCCTGGGTAACAGAGTGAGACCCTATCTCAAAAAAAAAAAAAAAGATGGAAAAGGAGGAAGGCAAGGGAGGGGGCTCATAGGCAGACACAGACTCAGCAGCAAAGCTTCTAGCATGACACGGTGGAAAGAGAACAAAAGAAAATATGAATGAATTAGTGATTGAATGAATGAACCAATGAATAAATTCAGATCAAATAATTCAAGAGGCACAGCAGTCTAGAGTTGTAGCAAGAGAACATTTATCCCTTCATTATTTCTGAAGACATTGCTGCATATCAGTGCCATCCTATGCCAATATATGCGATGTTTAACAAGGTGGGGGATGTGGGGAACACATGAGAACCCATGTGGTGAGAGTTGCTCAATGGTTAGGAGCAGGTCTAGAGTCAGAGCACCTGGCTTGAATCCTTGCTTCAGGGCTCTGCGGCAGTAAAGCCTGCTTTACTAGGTTACTTCACCTTGCCAAGCCCTACTGATCTCATCAGTAAAATGGGGATTCCCTACTCATTCCCAGGGTCATTGGGAAGTTTGAATAAAATAATCCACATGAATTCTTAGCTAAGTTCCTGGCACAGAATAAGTGCTCAGTAAACACTGGTGGTAATTATTATCATTTCACTGAAAGAATATGGCTGTTGAGACTTTCCCCAAATCATAGCTGCAGCTGCTGTTCTGGAATATTTCCAGAGTCTCCTGGCAGTGCTGAAATTTCCCTTTTATAAAATACATAGGGTGGCTGTGAAAATTGAGGAAAGTTCCAGAAGGTAGGGGCAGTTGCATCTGTCTTCTTCATTTCTCCTCTTTTTGGCAGTAGAATCCAGGCCACAGACAGAGAGGACAGCAGGCTCCTAAGGGTACTGGCCACCAGCTATTTCTTGGCAACACAATTCCTTTGAGCAAGAATGGCCCTTTACCTTTTGGCCAACCTGAGAGAACAGTTATTATGAGCTGGCCAGGAGAATATGAAGCTATTTTCCTTTTGATGTTATGTCCTATGCTATGTAAATATAATCTCCCTCCAAATAAGAAAGGTGCGCATGCATAGAGTTGGCAGAGAGACATCGAAGCATGTTGCACAGTGGTGGCTGTGAACCAGGGGAGGCAGTGCTATGTTGCTTTCCCTTGACCAATATCTGCCCAGTGGCAGAGCTGGAAACACAGGATGCTATGTAATGGAAAACCTTGGCCTGGCTCCTCAGCGTAATGTAAAACGAAGGCTGCCAGGAAGGTACAAATCGCCCAACAGGAAGAAGCTGCTCTCTTGCCCGTGGATGGCAGGACAATAAAGTAACTTGTCCTTTGTTTGTGTGTTTTCCAGGCTGGAGCAAGAAATACAAACGCTAGAAAGTGAAGAGTCCCAGATATCTGCCAAAGAGCAAATCATCCTAGAGAAACTGAAGGAGACAGAAAAATCCTTCAAGGACTTTCAGAAGGTGAAAAAAACAAACACGATTTCTCGAAGTTATGTCCGTGGGGAAGTAAGGCCTAGCAAAATGGTGCCAACTGGGAAACAGGCCAGTTGGCATTGATGAGAAATCTGAGCCACAAACTCTATGAAATGAGAGGCAGATGTGTGAGGACCAGGGGCCTTCCTGAAGCTGAGCGTGGCATATCTTTGGGTGTGGGACCATCTGGCCTGCTGCAAGGCATAGGGAATAGTCATTAGATTACCCCATCTGCCTACTGTCCAGATCCCTGATATACGTTGTGCCTGAAAAGCCTTCTCTTATTGGACTCTAGAATTCTAAAACCAATTCTGATGCAGCAGAATAAACATGCTCTTTGTGGCTATAATTATAGTTTGCTTATTGAGTCTTTCTTTCTAAAAAGGCCAGAAGCAATACCCTATGAAGTGGACAGGAATTCCAAATACAAAGAGTGTAAATACATGAAATTTTAATATATATAAAAACAGATGGTGCCGTGTATCAAAGAGTAGAGTTCGTAAAACCAGTAGGCTCTGAACAAACATCTCAGGACCTCCCTCCATTTTATAACTGTTTCTGCAGTACCTGAGTGAGAGAAAAGCAATCTAATGAAATCAATTTAGGATGGGATTTTCTGATATCATTCTCCAACATGACCAAGGATGTTTGCTAGGTCATTGAAATAAATCTCTATTGGGAGAAATTTAGTATAAGTTGGGAATGGTAATTTTGGAACTCTAAACAAATTGTCCAGAAGAAAAGAGATCATTGCGTTTTCCCAGCACAGTCAAATTCTGGGTCTGGGCATGGGAGAAAGAGGGGTTAAGTCTTTAAAGATGGGAAAAGATGGGCTTGTACCCCCATATGTAGAGTAACGCTCTGCCTTGTTTTTGTTCCTACAGGGTTTCTCCAGTACGGATGGAGGTAAGTGCTCTCTGCCCCAACTGTAGATGAATGTTTTTGTCCTGTTCAGCTTAGGGGGTTTCACTAACAGGGGCTTAGGGAAGATGTACTGTGTTGATTTGTAAAGGCATCAGAAGAAGTAGCAGCACTGGTTGCAGGCCACTGAGGAGGTCCACATTCCAAGCCTTCCCTGCCTCTCTTCTTCAGGAACTGTCTCTTGACTCACTGTTTCTCATCTCACAAAATTGGCCTGGCTCTTCTCCTTCCCATTAGGTCCCAATGCTCACTGCTTAGGCCTCTCTTGAAAGGTACCCAGGAAAGAAGAGTACTAACATCAGGACCAGGTCCCTCGTAGGGATGAGCCCATTTGTCCTAGTGGTTAGGTCCTCAGGTTGAAACACACGTGAGAAGTTTAGGAAATTTTGGTGAAACATTTGGTGTTTGGGAAACCTTTCTACAGTCTCTGGATTTTCTTTGCTTTCTCTCTCTCTCTCTCTGATCAGACAACTGTAGTTTCTTCCATAGAAACAGGGCTGGGCAAAACTTCCCTCCCTGTGTGAGATAGTTGGTTCAGAGCATAGGAAGGTAGGAGCAGGGTCCTGGCTTCCTGGTGGCAAGAGCAGGTCTTTTGCCTTCTCTCCTTTCCCTACCTTTCCTCTGTCCTCTCCTCTCCTTACCTGGACTGTGGGGATGAACCTGAGATTGTGTATTTCTCACCCTTCACCTTGCTCCGTATCCTCAGCTGCAAACCCATGATTCCTACTTTCATTTGGCCCTCAGCTAGATCTGCTTTACAATGCAGGGACTTGTTGGAAAGACCAGATATTATCTGCTCACCTGGCTATGAGAAAGTCACACTCTAGGGCTGGGTGTGGTGGCTCAGGTCTGTAATCCCAGCACTTTGGGAGGCTGATGTGGGAGGATCCCTTGAGCCCAGAAGTTCAAGGCTGCAGTGAGCTATGGTCACACCAGTGCACTCCAGCCTGGGTGATAGCAAGGTCTTGTATTAAAAACAAACAAGAAAGTTCAGCCTCTAGACTAGGAAGATGATCAGGAGCCAGGATAAGAATTGGCGTCAGTGTTTTCCCAGTGCCATTTGGAAATATTTGGGGAAAAGTTAAAAAATGTGTTTTTCAGGCCAGGCGCAGTGACTCATGCCTGTAATCCCAGCACTTTGGGAGGCCGAAGTGGGTGGATCACAAGGTCAGGAGATCGAGACCATCCTGGCTGACACGGTGAAACCCTATCTCTACTAAAAATACAAAAAATTAGCCGGGCATGGTGGCGGGCGCCTGTAGTCCCAGCTACTTGGGAGGCTGAGGCAGAAGAATGGCGTGAACCTGGGAGGCAGAGCTTGCAGTGAGTGGAGATCATGCCACTGCACTCCAGCCTGGGCAACAGAGTGAGCCTCCATCTCAAAAAAAAAAAAGTGTTTTTCTGGATTAGTCAAAAATATTTGCATGAAGGATAGTTCTGACTTTGGCAAAAAAAAAAAAAAAAAAAAAAACTGTGATTTTTTATTTTTTTTTCCCTAGCAGGAGACCTGGATTTTGTCTCCCCAGGTGATCTTTAGGAAGGTACTAAATTAAACTTCATGCACTGAGTGCAAGTAGGCAGGGCCAAATCATGTCCAAGCCAGCAAGGACTCCAGGAAAAGCGAACCTACCATAGTTCTAGGAAGTCTCTATGGTGTGACCAAGTCAGGGCACTTGTTCTGTGCTTTGGGGGTGGGGCACAGATTGAGGAAGTGGCCGTGGGGAATTGTGGGTACAACGTGGGGAGGATGGCAGGCTTCCCTGAGTCTGGGAAGACCTGAGACATGCCACACAATTAGCAATAACACAGTGCATGTCGGGCTGGGATGCGGTGTGGGACACCAACCCATGAACACCTACCCAAAGAGTGCATGTTGGCCTTTTACGCTTTCACTTCTTTTTTCCCTTCCCTTCTCAAATCAGGAATTTCCCTAGATGTCTCTCTGATAACTAGGGAAGGGAAAGAGCCTGTATGTCATGTGCCTGAGAAGTCTGTGTGGGGCATGGAGACCTGTCATACTCTATGACTTGTTAAGAAGCAAAAATGCAGCCGCATCATAAACTCTCACCACCTCTCTCATTTTTACCTCAAACTTCTTTCATTTTCTTCTGCATTGCTTCCCATTATTTTCACTCATCCACCTAAGCCGTTCGTAGAGGTGGTAAGAAGCCTAGTCATAACTGAAAAGAGCCTGCAGAGAAAGTTGCCTGCAGACTCCATCCTCCAGGATGGGTGAGCTCAGGCTTAAGAGGATGCAAAAGTCTTAGGGATCTCATTTCTTAGGAAATGGCCCAGGGAAGAGTTTCTGTGGTTTTACCTGTCACCCTGGATTATAATTCCTGCCATCTGTGGTTATCACCAAGCCTGGGTGACCTCTTTATCATACCACATCTATTAGCAAAGAAAGAAGTTTGAAGGTGGGAACACATACATCCCAGAATGTGATTGATGTAGATAGAGCGACACTGTGGTGAAGCACATTCCAGTTGAGGGACTTTGGGATATCTCTTTATCTTCTCATTCTTCAATTCCAAGGCCCCGAGTTGCCAAGACCCTCTTAGAATCAACCAACTTGCTACAAAAAAACAACAAGATATTATTATAGAACAATGATGACTTAAGAAACACTGTTAATTTCTGATACATGCAGATTACAGAATCCAGGTCCGGTTAGGATTACATAACTATACAGACACTGCAGATAAGCAGCAAAAGCATCCCAACTTACGAGGTGCTGTGAGATACTTGCTGGTGTTTGTGTGTGTAATGACCCCATCTCAGGTACTCTAGGTGTGTCCCTCTATGCATGGCAGAGGAAATAGAGATACCGTACTGCTGGATCACCAGTGGCAATTGGTGATTGCCTGGGCAATCAAGAGCAATTTATTCTACTCGTGAGTAGAATCTCCTGGTCATATACATTCTGACACTCCCTCTCTTCCCCTGCTAATACACATTGTTGTTATATAGCAGAACCCTCATCTATTGGGTGGGTTGTTTTCACTGTCTTAGGCATAATGTCTTGTACAACTATAAATTGAATATAGTATATCTTTGGTGCTAATTCTTCTCTTTACCCACTGAGGTGATGCAAAACTCTTGGCCAGAACAGGCAAAGGAAAATGTCTGTCCTGGGCCTATCTCAGTCCTTGGTGTATGATATTGATCTTCTTAGCTTCCGATCCCATACCAGTCTGTGGTAGCTTAGAGCCTTTCCCACATCAAAACCTTCATACCGGTTATTCACAAACCTCAGTCTTCAGTTGCCTATAAATTATGTGTGTGTGTGTTTGTTTTGAGATGGAGTTTCACTCTTGTCACCCAGGCTGGAGTGCAGTGGCGCAATCTCAGCTCACTGCAAGTTCCACCTCCCAGGTTCAAGCTATTCTCCTGCCTCAGCCCTGCAAGTAGCTGGGATTACAGGCGTGAGCCACAGTAGCCAGCCTAAGTTACGTTTTAAGAAGAGTTTTCATCAATCTTGTTTCTCTGGCTTTAGCCGTTTCGATTCTTCATAGCTACTGTAAATATTTCAGCAGGATTAGAGCTAAGAAGCAGCACTCATCTTTAATTTCTACTCTATGGTGACTGCTTTCCACCTTCTCTGGCAGCAGGGAGAATAGTGGAAGACTATTCTGACTGTGGCAGGAAGAGGGCAGCTTATTGATTGAGGCCACCTGAAGAAGTTTTTCCCATTGAAGGTTTGGCAGGCCTGTTTGTTACTCTTTATGCTGGTCTATCAGACACTTCCTGTCTCTAAAACCTTAGGGTTTAGTACTTAATGATATATTGAGGGGGCTGCTCTGTCCTCTTTCTGATGCCCCATTCTCCACTCCCTTGTCTCTCTCTCTCTCTCTTTTTTTTTTTTTGAGTCAGGATCTTACTCTGTCACCCAGGCTGGAGTACGGTGGCGTGATCTCAGCTCACTGCAACCTCTGCCTCCAGGGTTCAAGCGATTCTGTCTCAGCCTCCCAAGTGGCTGGGACCACAGGCACACACCACCAGGCCTGACAAATTTTTGCATTTCAGCAAAGACAGGGTTTCGCCATGTTGGCTGTGCTGGTCTCAAACTCCTGACCTCAAGTGGTCTGCCTGCCTCGGCCTCCCAAAGTGCTGGGATTACAGGTGTGAGCTACTGTGCCCAGCCCATTCCCTTATCTCTTAACAGAAGCCATGTAGCCCAACTCTCCAAGTGCCGTAGACTTCAAGATTGTAGCCAGTAAACATCTGGCAAAGGTAACTCCATCATCCACTCCCATCTGGCAGGGAGCTGTCTCCTGGAGGAGGCTGAGACATAAGTCCTGGGAATCACATGTTCTTTCAGATGGAAAATTCTTTGTCTGTAAGTAGTTGTTTTTTGTTTTGTTTTGTTTTGTTTTTTCCTGCTAAAACATTGAGTATGCAGACACACATGTGACCAGTCCATGAGATCTCACTTGGGCTCCAGCCTCTATCTTATTTGAATGCAGAAAGTCAAATTCACCAAGATCCCATTCCACAGACTTCTGGAAATTATCAGTGAATCTTGGAAGTTCTACAGATCTGCTCTTGTCATCCCTCCTTTCCTAAACTGTCCCTGTAGTCCTAGATTACTGCTTTGGTCTTCCCACGGACAGTTGTTACCCACCTGCCCCTACCCCCTCAGGACCACTGGCCTCAAGCTGCTGCTCTTTCTCATTCTGCCTTGTGCTGGTTTGGGGCACAGACCCTTCCCACAGCCTCCCACAGTGGGAGTTAAAGGAAAGAGAAGACTGTGACCTAAGTTTAAGAATCATGGAGGTGGCTCACGCCTGTAATCCCAGGACTTTAGGAGGCCGAGGCAGGCAGATCACAAGATCAGGAGATCGAGACCATCCTGGCTAACACAGTGAAACCCCGTCTCTACTAAAAATACAAAAAATTAGCTGGGCATTGTGGCAGGTGCCTGTAGTCCCAGCTACTTGGGTGGCTGAGGCAGGAGAATGGCATGAACCTGGGAGGTGGAACTTGCAGTGAGCCGAGATAGCGCCACTGCACTCCAGCCTGGGTGACAGTGAGACTCTGTCTCAAAAAAAAAAAAAGAGAGAATCATGGAGGTGCAGTTCAACATGGAGAATAATGCGCAACTTCAGACATGTGGCTACACTCACAGCCCCTGACTCAAATGCAAAACCATCTTCAGGGGGTCTCTGCAGGCTGCTTTCCAGCCATCTCCCAGCCTACCATCATCTCAAAGGCTCCATTTCCTTCCTTGCAGTGAGGGGGGCCTTCAACCATGTCTGCCTTATCCGAGATCCAAGCTCCAACACATACAAAGCATCTGAGATGGAAAGCAACTTGAGCTTCATTCCACCCTAAGTCCTGCCATCCTAATCTTCCTTTCTCATTCCTTCTCCCCAAATGGCTAATATGGAAAAATCTCTCTTTTTTTTTTTTTTTGAAACAGTCTTACTCTGTTGCCCAGGCTGAAGTGCAGCGGCACAATCTTGGCTCACTGCAACCTCTGCCTCCTGGGTTCAAGTGATCCTCCTGCCTCAGCCCCTCTAGTAGCTGGGACTACAGGCGTGTGCCACCGTGCCCAGCTAATTTTTGTATTTTTAGTAGAGACGGGGTTTTGCTGTGTTGGCCAGTATGGTCTTGAACTCCTGACTTCAGGTGATCCACCTGCCTTGGCCTTCCAAAGTGATGGGATTGGATTACAGGCATGAGCCACCGCGCCCAGCAAAAAATCTATTTTCTTAGAGATACTCTACCTTTGCCTATGAACATAATGATCTGATGTCAATACATTCTGGACTGTTCAGAGTCACTTGCAAGTCAGCAAAAGGTCTGGTTGGTCTAGAAGTGAACTAAGCCTAGTCCAGTGTCTGTTTGCAATCCTCTTCAGCAAGAAATGAAAAAGAAAGCTGCTAGAACGGAAACAGTATGAGTGGGAATGCAGAGGAGGGGACAGTGGTGAGAAATGCGGAGGAGGCAGAGGCTATGGAACAGATTGGATACCAGGAGGGAGAAGAGTGAAGGGTGCTGCTGAGGATCCCAGGTGAACTGTGGTGCTCATGAGCCAAGATAGAGGACAGGAGAAGCAGCAGTTGAGCAGAGATACAAGGTCCATTTTGCACATGTTGAGTTTGAGGTGATTGTGGGATATTCAGTAGAGACATACGGTGAGCAGTTAGATGTAACCATCGATGACTGATGGACGTTCCAGGATTTTGTGATATGGTCGTGATGCAAGGAAGGAATCACATCTCATGGAGCCCAGCTTTCTGGAATTTTCCTGCTTTCACTTTCCCACTTCTCTCTGGGGTGTACCCAGATTCGTCTTGTCTCACCTCAGGTGTTTCCTCCTTTCCTCTGATACCTTGGCATGCTTGCTAATGTTCATGCTCCCCGGGTCTCACCTCCCTAAAAAGGCTTGTCGAGGTATTTGCCCAAGCAAAGCTGATGGGCTCCTTCTTTTGCACAGCAACATTCCCTGCAACTGGGCTAATGGTGGGCTCAAGAGGTGTTGTCATTTAGAATCTCAGGACTTTATATCTGAAACACCAACCTGCAGTATTGAAAACATGAGATCAATTCTGAAGTCTGTTTATTTGTTGTAATGCATATAAAGTTGGTCTTTTGAATGAATCAGGCTCATAAAGCTATATTGCCAGTTCAGGGAATGAGCCCCATAATAATCAGACACAGAAAGCTTTATTTCTGGTATAATCAGACACAGAAAGCTTTATTTCCGGTTCAGAGAGTGGATCTGTTTTTCAGTACTGTTTAATGTACATTTCTAGTTTGATGTTTTCTATTTGGTCAATCCCACCAAATTGATAATGGCTCCCACAAGCCCATCTCTGAATCTTCCCCCCGTCCCTGAACTCATTGTCCTCCTAGAATCTAGAGATTTCTGATGACTCTTCTGAAACATAGAGCCATCCTGGGGCTTGAGCTCTCTGGCCAGGATCCCTCCTGCCTCAGCTACTCTGCTGAATACCAGTCACTGGGCAAATGCTAGTCTTTGTTTACCCTGATCCTCCTGTTCAGCGGTCCATTATGTAGGGCAGACAAGCTGCTGTCTCGGCAGTGAACCCATTGGGCCTCCCAACACTGTGACTAATTGTATTCCCTGTTCTCTGCTACCAGATGCAGTAAATTACATTTCCTCCCAACTTCCCGACCTGCCAATCCTCTGTTCACGAACTGCAGAACCATCACCTGGGCAGGACGGGACCAGCAGAGCGGCTGGTAAGTCCTGGGGACCTTTGGATGCTAGGATGTTCCAAGGGGCTTGCATTTCAGTGAGCTTTATTAATGAGATTAGTGCCCTGCTATCCTTACATAGGGGGACAGCCTCAGCCCAGCCTCAGACGCAGCCTTCACAGTGGCCACACAAGGCAGGCACCGGCCCCAGATGGGTAATTGAGTACCAAATGGGAAGGAGTTCTGAGGAAATCATATGGCATTTCACCTCCGACTTCGGGGGGGTCTTTCTTTGGTGTTTGTGGTCCTTCTATCTGTGTTTATTCTCAAAGTTCATCTGTATTCTGCCTCTAGGGATTTTCATTTTCCTCATTGGAATTATACAAATTGAGAGAGCCATCCATGATGGAAGCTGGGTGGGAAATATTTTCAAAGCCTATGGTATCTTTACAGAATCCTTTGGGAGTTGAGCTATTTGTATATTATGAATACATATATTCCTAAGTCTTCCCATTTCTGGAGTTATTTCTTAGCCACTGTGGTATATTTGGGAGGAAAAGAAGCAATTTAAAGAACACATGTTTCTTGCTAATGTTTCTCACAATTGGAAATTTTACAAATACTACATTTATGAGTAAATTACATTTCCTCCCAGCTTCTGAGTGTTGAGTATAGGGAGAACCATGCTTTGCTCTGCTTAATGCAGACATGCCTCAGAAATCAGAACTGGAAGGATGCAAACAATAAATCTCTATACCAGCCCTTATGATCTACACAGAAGTGCTGAGGCCTGGGGGTTAAATGGAAAAATGAATTGCCCAAGGTTGCATGGTTAGTTACAACATAAGTGAATTCAAATATGAGTATCAGATTCTGCTTTGCATATTCTAGGTAAGTGTACGTTTAAAATAAATCACATAATGACAGATTTTATAAGCTAAAACAATCATGGATGTTTAAGCCAGAGGAAATATTTTATATAGGCCAACCTGGATATTTTATGAAGCAAAGAATCCCTCCTTATTTTAATACAAAAATAAAATAAAAGTCAAGTAAGAATTAACGTAGTTGTCATGTCCACTGGCTAATTGAAATATCTGTTGGGCATCTCAGTAAACAACTTAGCAGATTACTAAGTCCCTCCCCTCTGAATTGTACAGACTCAGAGTCCTAGAGATGGGTGGGACCGTCAGTGGTATCTGGTCAATCCAGAGCCAGTTCCCCGTCTTCCTGGACAGTGACAGGATGGATAAACAGGAACCTGAAGCCTGCAGTTATGCTTCAAAGGACTCACTGGCAGTCACTCTAACATTGAACTCTTTAAGTACTCCAGGGTGCACTTCTGAGGTCAACTTAGGTAAAATGTGTTTAAGAGTCACACACATTCCCTCTAGTTATTAGAGACTTGGGTGTTGATGATTCCTGATAGCTGTGGGTAAACAACTTCTCAGGTCCTCTGCACAAATTCCTGCACTTCAAAGGACACGGGATATGATCCAACATATGGATCAGCTCATGGGAGGGTAGGGACAGTGTATGAGAAATAATTTTAAGAGAGAGAAAAAGAATTTGAGCAGTGTGGGTAGTCAAAGAGTTTAAAGTTCAAGAGTAACACATGAATGTGATTGTAGTGATGTGTAAGTAGGAATGCACATTATTTCCACAACCCAGCTCCCTTTATCTTTGAAGATCCTGCAAAACGTAATGATTTTAAAAGCCAATGCATTTGTAAAAGTATAATGTGATCAGAATCTTTTTAAAAGTAAGTTTACATATGTTTCTGTTGATGACTTAAGAGTTAATTTGCGTAAATGCATCTACTGTGGGATTACATATAAGTGGAGCTATGGAAGGAATTGTATTTGTTATGATGAACTCCTTTGTCCAGGCTGTTTAGGGAATGGGATGTTCAGATTCATGATCAATTGTGGTTAACAGTGACTACACAGAGCATGTGTGGCTTACCAACCAAGAGAATTCACTAGAATTCTCCTAGATACAGTCCATCTTGCTTTAGGAATGTCCTTTTGGAAATTTATATAAGTTCAGGGACATTTTGACAAATGTCACTTGTCGTTACTAAGTAGTATAACAAATATCCTGGTTGTTTGGAGTTTGGAAGGTTTGGGACTCTGTATAAATGGGAATTTATTTAGAATCATTACTTTTCAGAATTAGGAGACATCTATTCCAATCCTTTATCCAAACATTGAATCCTTGACATAGCAGCCCTGTGAAGAAGTCCTCAAACCCCAGTCACACACCTCTGTGATCCAAGCTTAATCTTCCTCCAAGTTACCCATTCCATCTCTAGTTGGTTCTGACTATTGGGAAATTCTTCCTCTGATGGAGCTATCATTTGTCTGCCTTCATCTTCCACCCACTTTTCCTTATCCTGCCCCCTGGAGCTATTCAGAACACATCTAAGTTCTAATTTCCCTTCAAGTGTTAGAAAATCACTGTTATTTCCTGTTTTTCCCAGATCCTCACTCTAAATCCCCTTCATGCTCACAGCCCCAGTCTCTCCAGCTGGTATTGAGATGATGAGATTGCCTTTAGACACTCTCCAGCATTCCCGTTCCTCCCATCTGAACGCTCTTCACTTGGTTGCTAGTCTACTTGATGTGTCATGCTTAGAGCTACCCAATGCCTCCTGAGCTAGGCTCCTCACCCCCAAAATAGAGCATGACGCTGCAGACCATGTGGCTGACTTTGCTGGCAACACGTCCTTTCAGCTTCAGTTTTGAAAGGCCTCAAAGTCATTTCATGTGTGCCACATCAGCCTTGCTCCCTTTATCCATAGCATTGTTGTTTCTGAATCATTTCAGCTGAAATGTTCAGTCTGTTTCCCCTAGTTATACATATACTACTTCACCTGCTCATACATAGAAGGACCTACAGAATTCTTTCGTTTTTTAATCTCAAAAGGCAAAACTAAGCATGAGCTATGCACTTTTCTGTCCTTTGTAGATTTGCTATGACTATTAAATATCTTCTTGTTAGTTGTCTCTCAGGAATGTTCGGGGTTTCATGGAGGCACTGAGGAACCACAGCAGGAAGTCGGGGAGGGGAGTGATGTCATGGGATTTGACAGGGCTCTGACATTCCCTCCTATTTCAAACATGCGCAGTTCCTCCATCCTTGTGTTTACATATCATGTTTCCGCATCAGATTTCACTTGAATCTAGGGCTTAACAAGTTTTGAAAGTAGAAAACCCTCTTCTCTATTGTTAGGGTCTTTGTAGCTCATGATTATGGTATCCTCATAGCCTCACTTTGCTTCTCAGTTTAGTACCCCCTCAAACCTGAAAAAACAATCTTTTATTATTTTTTATCATCTCCCTGCTAAAAATGTTGCATGTTGGAACCAAAGTCAGAGCCCTGTGGCACACCATTAGAGATCTCTTGGGCCTTGATAACCCTAAATCGACATCTTTGGAGTATGATCATGCAACCACTAACAAGTTAATTGTCTTAACACCCAAGGCACAAATTTCTGTGTAGTCCACAGGAATATAAGGGATTTTGTGATGATCCAAATACGCTGGATCTTTTCAAATGCAATTTGCCTATTCTTTCCAGAGACCTTGAACAAAAAAGAAAATGAGATTAATCTGCATAGTTTCTGCTTGATGAGCCCATGCTGGCTCTTGGTCATCTCTGTTCTTTGAAGCACAACTTTAGAATTTAGCTAGCCTTGATGTCAAGCTCCTTCTATGTAGTTTAGAATCCCCTCATTTTCATTTTTGAAAATCAGACCTTTGAGTGTCAGCTTCCAGCAGCTTTCCTGGTATTCAAGATTCTTGAGACAAATTCAACATGAGAACCGGGACCCTGATCCCAAAGCACTGACAGCCTTTATATCCCTGCAGTGCTTTATTATTTTCTAAGATTCTCCGCTCGTCTGGGCTTCACTTCCCTTTCTGCCACTTTCTTTCCGGCACTTTACAGGCTGAAAGCTCTCCTTCTTGACCAAAAATAGAAGAAAAATCAGACATAAGAAATTGGCTTTCCTTTATTATCCATCAACATCACAACCTTGCTGACTTAGTTTTGTTACTACTAAGGTGTCTTGGAAAAACAATTGATTCACAGACATTTTTGATCACTTTTTTTTGGCGGGAGTTTTTTATTGATACATAATAATTGTACATATTTATGGGGTACATGTGGTATTTTGATACATTCATACAATGTGTAATGATCAAAAAAGGGTAGTGAGGATATCCATTATCTCAAACATTTATCATTTCTTTGTGTTGAGAGCATTCAAAAATCTTCTAGCTATTTTGAAGTAGACAATAAATTATTGTTGGCTTTAGTCACCCTACTCTGCTATTGAACATTATAACTTATTTCTTCTATCTAACTATATTTTTGAAGTTAGAGATTGCGCTTTGGGATGAGAGGAAGAAGCCAATCGAAATTAATTTCCTCATTTTTATTGTCATTGACATCACAATAGTCATCTTTACATTTCCAGCCCAAAGAGAATATGTGAACACATATGTATATGTATAACCATTTGCTCAAAGGGATAAGACTACCCATATGTATGTTCATTTAACAAGTCAAGCTTGTGTATTGCTTGTTTATCACATGCCAGGTGCAATGCCAGCTCCTGGATGTTTCTTTAACTGAGATGACCCTGACCCCCCATGGATGACACTTACGATCTGCTTCCTTCCTACTGTACTTTACACATCACTGACTGGTGAACCACGCAGGGTGTTCACAGCACCGTAAAATATCAAAGTTGGATACCTTTCATTGTACAAATGAGAAAATGAAGCCCCAAAATGGGGTGTGATCTGGATAGGAATTCTGATCCTATCTTTCTCCCTCCTCCCATCTCCCTGACTAATGACAGCAGAGCATGTGGTGCTTATATTTTGTATATGGGCTCTCAGCCTGTTCCTCCTCCCGTAATCACAGTGAATGAAAGGAACTGAGCTGGGAAAAGCCTGAATCAATGATTGAACTTTCCATCCTCCTGGAATAGTCTTGTTTTGTATACTCTTGGACCGATGCTCAAATGTATTCAT